TAAAACCTGTCTGGTTGACAAAATCTTCCCCACCCAATTATTTCTTCTATTAGCTGCATTCTGAATGGAGAGATTTGCTGCATCTTTTAGTAGAAGTGGGATGTCCTCTGAACAAAGTCTGTCCCAATATTTCAACAGTCTTTCTTTCCACCACAGATGAAGAGGAAGTTGCCCTAATTCTCCTCGGACTGCCATGGTTGGTGTTGAGGCCGCAACATTGAGAATATACTTTAGTATCCATAATTCTACTTTTTCAATGTCTTTATCTTCTTCAAAACCCCAGATCTCACATCCATAATAATAGTAACTAGGAATGCGCACGCGCATATTTTGCCTCGCGCCTGCCGTAAACACTCCGACTGAGGCCGCTCGTGCGCGCGCTCTACTGACTGCGCGCGAAGCCAGACTTCCTACGAATGACGGAAGTGACATACCGACGTTGGAGAGGTGACCTTATTGAATTACCATTTTTTGAGAACAGACTCCAACTGCGTAACAAATGTCTGTACTGTTTCAAAGATGAAAAAAATGCAGCCCCCTGATCACCTGCGCTTCTTTCAAATATACATATTCTTTGTGTTTTCGGATATTACTCCGTTCCATTTATAGCAAAATTGAATGCTAAGAGACTAAGATGTTTGAAGGCCTACTGCACTTTGGTCGATAAGCAAATATAATGTCATCTGCATTACATGAGTATGATGGGGAGGGAAAAGGACTTCATCCCCGCCCCTCAACCCCAGCATTGTTTATTCCCGAGTTCCAGCTCATAGGGTCCACTAGAGAACAAGTTTAAACAACTAGTGGGATCAGTGGCAACCATTGTCATAAACACCTCTGGCAGAAAACCTGCTCTGTAGTTCTACCTTGAAAGTTCAAAACCTGACTTTGCCTTAGCATGACATACAACATTGCAACAAGCGTAAGCATTGCTCGCTATATCAACCTAGTTGTGGCCAGCTTCACCAGAGAGCGCGTGGTTCACAGAGTCGAATGCTTTTTCAGTCAACTGTAGCAGACATACATGGGGTACTGTTTTCCTCGATGATGCCTCCATTATCGTGTTTATATAGATGATACAGCAGTCAGTCCGTTCTTCTGTCTTTCTGAAAACAAACTGAGATTCTGGTATTAATGCATGTCTCCTCTGCCCACTCCGTTAGCCTTGTACTATAATCGAGTAAAGATTTTCCCCATGCTGTTCAGAGAGTGATTCCCGATAACACGACGAGGGTCTTGTTGGAACCACCCTTAGTATGGTGTCTATAATCACGGTCGACTGTCCGTTTTAGGTAAGTGCCAGAATAGGAGCATAAGGTCAATATGGTGTATGCAGAGAGACTAAATAACCATTCAGAACTTGCATAAAAGCATCCCTGAAATGACATCCGCGGGCATGGGCGCTTATTAGATTTCACATGACAGATTGCTGGGTTGCGTTTCTTCCTCTGTCTATAGTCATCATCCATTCTGGCGATAGTAAGGCGATGAGTTGCAGACTGAGGGAGAGCTACAGCAGGCTGTCACTCTCTGCATGACATGTTAGATTGTGAAATAGTGGACAGAAGAGCCTTCTTGGCGGTCTGGGAGTAGATGTCGGAAAATGCATCCTCCTCTACCTCTTCGCTCTAGAGATGACTTTCCACAATCTCTTGGGATCTGTCTTTGACGCCACTCACAAGCTTTGGTAATGCTGTATATTTGCTGCTTCATCGCGCTTTCTCGCTTCCCCTTTTAACCATTTTCTTGGTAGATCCGTTTCTTCTCCCTAAATAGTTTTCTCGATCGATTGAACCTGATTGTCCTGAGAAATGTTCTAAATGTTGCTATTGGCATGCACTGTTGACAAACTCTTTTTGTTGTGTTTTGCATTCTTCAATATCAACCAGCGCTTTCTAGAAGATCTATTCTTATGTGTGTTCTACTCTGTGCCTGCCCTAGGTTTCCCCGCCGCCTCAAACTCTTGCTCATCAGATTTTGTTTGTTACATAGTTCTGCTTATTCATGATTCTGCCCCGCATCACAATGCATTCGACTCTGAATGGAGAGTACGATTTTAGCTCTAGAACACGCTGTCACCAGCATCATTGCTGTGGTTCGATAAACTCCTGCTCCGTTAACTTCTCCATTGTATCCATCTTAGGAGATCCGTGAGGAGAATTCACATATAGGCGATGGCTCCATTGACTGCAGCACTATGCTGCTTTGAGCAGGCACACAGATTGCAGAGCAAGAGTAGGTCTGACATATGGCTGCAGAGAACCAACTCGAGTAAGTCGAGTAACAGTACTGCCCTTAGCTGACTGACAGATATAATCATAATCTCATCCACACTACGAGCCTATCATGGCAGCTCTATAACAGGAGCGAACTTACCTGCGGCTGTACCACCCTTTATGCTTTCCCTTACATTCCGAAATCTTAGAACGTAAAACTGATACAAAGATCAGACGAGTGTCTCTCTTAGCTGTGTTCACGCTGATATGTGCTGCAGACTGTCCGCTCCACTTGTGAAAAATCATGTTTCATAGGATACTGCGGATGAACAACAAGAATAATTGGTGTCTTTTTCAATCGTAGTCATTCCTTGCTGCTGCAGTTCGCTTCCGTCATGGTACCCACAGCAAAGTAAAATATTGCCTTTTCTTTGCTTTCCATTTCCAGCCATTTGTAATCACATCTGCTCGTTTTCTCAAACATCTCCATTCTGCGATCCATTGTGGCATGTAGAATTTGAGCCCACATGTCCCGGGTAGTACAAAAACATAATAACAGACTCTAATCTTATTAGTACAAAAGGTTAGTTCGGCCCTGTAATTCTTCAACCATTGAATAACATATATCTTAATGAGATGATACTAAAGCAGGCATCCCATAGCACTCTGTTTAGACTTCATCTATGCTAAAAAAGATCTTGCCGCTTGTTCAACACACTTGATAGTTGGGACGACTTCATATGAGAACCTTGTAGTTTTTAACACGTTTCAGAAAACACACTAGTTCATAGTCTGAGGAAAAAAGATCAATCATGACGAATTTGTTTTTGCGAAACCCTGAATGTTCTGATAAAAAATGTAAGAAATTTGTAGAATCAGTTTGTCGAATGATTGTGATGTCGTGGTGGCCACCCTGGCTACGCTCGCTATTATGGCAGGTCGAGTGCTAGGGGTGCAGCTAGCATCTGGACAGATCAGCCTCAGAAGGCGACACATGAACTTTTCCATTGATAATTAATTTCCATCTGAGTAGCGATGAATGCTCTCTTCCCTCAGATCTGGCTTTTTTCATGACATTACTAACTCCTTCTCTTCTCTCTCCTGCTTCGATAATCTGCATCACAAACATCCAGACCCACTTAGCCTTTGGCTGCTTCAGCAATTTATTTGTCTTCAAAGCATTTCATTTTCACATTACTAGTCGTCTCTTGCTAGGGGTTGGTTGCCCACGCCTTGTGACAATACAGCGAACTTGGTCTATTTGAAGTTTTTGTCCTTCAGATTGTGCCACCTTCTCTCATTTGTCTCTATACAGATTCATACTCATTCTCTTCCACATTTCCACTCAATTGCGAATCTATTCATCTCCTTCTCTCTATTTCTCTCTTTCACCATAAATTAGCTCTTTGAGTAGCTTGGAGATGACTCGGCAGCTAACTGACACGCTAGCGGATTAATCTAACTGCTGCTGAGTGTCTCAATGCGGTCGGTTTGAGGTTTCCACCGTGAGTGCTGTGTCGCAGTGCTTGGAGACTGCGCTGGCGAAGGACTTCCAACCTCTTATCATTACGCAGACCACGTGAAGGAAAGTCAGAACTCAATTTTTCCTCTAACTGACTAACTCTTAAACTCAGTGTTACAATACTGTTTGCCAATTGTTTTATTTCATCCCGAAAACTCTTTTCAAGATTTGTGAGAGCTTGGGCAATCATGTTTTGCACGATAGACTGCAGTCCTTCCTCTATGCCACTGTCTACTAGGGTTGTTGTACCTGATTGCGTGAGAGTAAATTCTAGTGATTCCCTAGACACATTACCCTTGTCAGTGGTACCATTCACACTGCTTATACAATTGGGTTGTAACATGCTTGTTTCTCGCCTACCAGAGTTGTCATGTTCATTGTGAGGCTCTAGTAGGCCACTGTTGTCAGGGTTGGTGCTGCTCTCTGAACCTTTTTGGCTAGCCAAAACTTCTTCATTCGTTGCGAGCCATTCACCGATTGGTTTTCCATAATACTTTATTGATTGCTTCCACTTCCTGGCCTGTATCGCTGACATGCTTTCAAACTCACTCGGTGTGACCCATTTTCCCTTTGAACCTAATGCATCTCCCCAAATTATACTTGTTTGGTGTGTCTTAGTGTCCGTTCACGTTTTCTGCCACTAGGCGCGACAAGATCGAAACGGGTTCGGCGCTACATTTGCTTGATTTTAAACTGGCGATTTTCGTAAAAACACTCACAAAAGTTTTGGCGTGAAAACCAAGTGAACAAGCCAATATGCAAATTAACACAGGCTTACCGCATGCTCCGGCGAATAATTGCCATGACGCGTGCACGCTATATAGCCTGCCGGAGAGGGCGCGTGCGCGATCGATGACACGTTGGCTTTTTCGATTGTTTTCAAGCCATATCTCTGGAACGCATGCGTTTCAGGAAAATGCGCCACATTCATATCCATCTTCTCGTTGTTCAAAACCCGTTGGTGCCACTCATTGGCCGCCTCGTAGCCTGTGGTGCGAGAACTCGCGCGGACAGACAGACAGAATGACAGAACGACTACTGTAACCCTCGCTGCGCATGCGCGCCGAGGGTTAACAATGATAAATTCTACAACAAGAGAGGAGTTTTCTGATGGGACCTGGGGGGGTCCTTTGCTGCACATCTCCAGTCTCCCTAAGCAACTTCACTGTTCTCCACACTGTGCTGGTATCATCTTCCAGATGGGCTGCGATTTCTCTGTTGGTCATTCCTAACACTTCTCTTTGCCATATCATTCTCCACCTAAGGTCTGCCGAGTATGCAGACGCTCTCTTGGTTTCGTAAAAAACCATCGTGGACGCCTGTAGGCATAACACAGAGGTTCAATTTAGGTACACTCCGTGTGAAACCTGCAACACATAGGTTCAATGTGGTTAATAGTTAAAACCTCTGATGTTGACTGGAGCTACTTACGACTGCTGTCAAGAGTCAAGATGAAAGCCCTAATAGGTGTGTCAAGGATGTCGACTTCACTCTGGAGACCGGCAGAGAAACTCTCGGACGACTCGACAGCAGTGTCGGCAGATATTTGAATCGTCGAGCACTTCCTGGTTCCCCCTCCTGGTGTGAAGGTGTGGGTCGCACTTAGGCTTGTGTAATCATCTGGAGCTGGAGTGAAAGAGCAAGCTCAGTTATACATGACAATTTCAAAAGACAACTCAAGAGCATTGTATCAAAGGCCTTAACACTCTCAGTAGCCCATTTTAATGAGCTCTCTTGTCTGAGTTACTGTGTGAAATGTTCCTCACATGCGGCGGTTGATGGGAGGGTGTTGATAGTGATAACTACACTAGATGAGAGGGGGCCTCCACTCACAGAGGCACAGACTTCAATTGAACCGTCATCTTCTGTTACAGAGTACTGGGATGACTCTAGTGATATCTTGGGACCTATCAGAGAAATAAACGTGAAAAAGAAAGGATGTTAGACAACATCAATGGCAGAGAACAGCATCTCTTTGAGGTTTGATGCAAAGTGGATGCTAGCCAGCATTGGTCAAGTGCTAAATATCCTTTTTGACTTCAATTACCATAAATTAACGGCCTTTTATCTAAAACAGATAAACTGCACCACGTGTGCCCATAAGCTTGTGCTTAAAAAATAGTAACCTAAATTCTATCCATTACTTTGTGTCCATATGGCTGGTAGGAAAAGAAGGATCAATAGCCACTGCTGGCTTGCCATTCTCAGCCAACCTCAACAAAATCTTTCTTTGTTTTAGCTACTCTTTCGAATAATAGCTATTCACAACTGTACACTATCGTCAACTAACAGTTCTGTGCCTCGTAGGTGTTCTTAGTACTGACTGTCCATTAGTCTGGCTACCAGCTGTAGCTATATGTACGCACCCAGCTCTGGAGGACATACACACATAATATTGCCTCAACTGCTAGTGTTGGTGTGCGGGGAATGTACTTATAAAGCCTCTCCTGTACCACAGGCTGCAGGGTAACAGCTCGGGATTGGCATAGTGCTTGCCAGGGCATGCTGGTATTCATTGGCACAACTGTGGGCACTGCAGAACCCACACACAAACATGTCAGTCCAAGGATGTCAGTATCTGTACATGTATTGTACTGTATAGGTGAAACAGATAATTATGTCATTCTGGGTGGTCAGCAACAGATACGCAGGATGTGGTAAGGAGTATTAGATCATCTTCTGGCATCATGTGGCTAGCAAAGTTCCCTTTTATATACCATTCACATTATGCCAGAAGGTTGCTTGCTATGATGATTTGACACTTTTCATTCCCAGAAAGATCGATGTGCATTCCTCAAACAACTGCCATACTTGCTGAGAGGGAAGGTCATATTCACAGGCTGCCTTTTATAGTTCTAGAAAGTGTTGTTATGGGTGCTTTACCGGAAGCGGCAGCTTCTCTAGGCGGAAAATCTACTATAATATTATAGCTAGGGTGCGACACAAAAAAGGTAACAAAACTCATCAGCTGTTTATAACGACCGCAACTGCGCATGCATTTGGATTACAACTTACAAGCCTACACGCTGCCTGATCCTCGATACGCGATCTAGCCGGCGAGAGTACTCTCGTCCATTCGGCAGGATTCGCTGCGCTCTTCGATACCTGGCCGAGGCTGTACGCCATTCCAATCTTCGTTCTTCTAAGGTGCAAGTTTGTAAATTGGCTAGGATGGCTCGTGCAGATGCAGTTGTTGTGTGCTCGCTCCCGCTCGCCAAAAATGCATTCGCCTACTATATAGTTATTCAACGATGAAGAGTTGAGTAAAGGCCTGTGTTACAAGTCGCCCATCGACTATTATAAGCGAGAAAGTTGACGCGCACCCGGGCTTTGCGTAATCAGGCATCCGCTTCGCGAATTGTCCAGCCAAGAATGTTAGCCATCCACAGCCAAAAGGCATTCCCCATCAAAATCTGTGGCAAAACTTATTATAAGTTTGACAGAGTTACTATTATGACTTTACAGCACATAAGGAAGATATGATACGAGAGGTAGCATAAAGTATCAGTATGGTTGTGCTGAAGGTCAGCTTGAGGTAAGTATACACCAGTAGCCAATACAGTGCAGCAGAACCAAGGAATAAACTCTAGTTTCTTTCATGGTAATTCTGTTTTTAGGATGGCAAAGTACTGATTGGAGTCTGAATGCCTTTTCAAGAACATACAACAAACACAGTGTCTGCATTTAAACCTACCCCACCTTCTCTCTCTCATTACAGGGGAGCTAAAGACAGTACCACTGAAAGAGAGTAATGTGGAGAGGAAGAGAGAGGGAGAGAAAGAAGGAGGGAGAGGGAAAGAGGGAAAGGAACAAAGGAAGGAGAGACAGAAACCGCTACTCACCAGGAAACAGGCCTGGCAGGAAGGTCACAAGAGAACAAGGGATAAACAGGTTTGCTTTTATCAACAATAATGAGCAATTTTCTCTGCATCTCAATTTTCAGTGACACTGTGCTGATGTTGTGTAAATGTATTTAGTGTCAGTTTTGTTTGTTTTTTCTCTCTCTCAAAAGGTCAAGCGAGTTCAGCCGCTCCACTGAGAATGAAACCCTCTCTCATACGACACCTGGAGGTGACCGTGGAGTTCCAAATAATGCCCACTTTGCCTTTCTAAATAATGCCCACTTAGCACCTGTCCATATTGGCCACCATTCTAGATAGTGCCCACTTTTACCCTATAGTTAGCCAGTAAGTTTATGACATTTATTCTCCGTGCAGACCCATCATTGTAGTCCAGGTCCCAAGCCCATTCCACCCTCTGTGGCAGTTACTCTGGCAAAACTGAAACATTGTCCTCCTCTTGAGGTAAGAGAGTGTGTGTGAGAGAGAGGAGGGAAGAGGGAGTAAGGATGGTTTTCTTTGGCTCCAGAATGAAGTGGAATCTCCTCTGACAAAGGCGGTTCGTGTGACAGCTGCTCTGGTCCTCAGAAACCTGTGTCGAATGGCTCCCTCCACTCACTGGTATACAACACCTCTCACCTGCTTTGTTTCTTCCTCTTTTAGTACATTTTATCCCAACACCCACATGTTCTATATACATGTATAATCCCTCTCTTACTTCATTACCCTCACTCCCTCTCTCCCAACAGTCAGATAAGGAGACATGAACACAGACTAAGTGAAGTGGCTCTGTCTGACAGAGAAGCTGCTCACGCCATTACAGAGTGTCTCACCTATTTAAACCTCCCTCCTCCTTCTCCTCCCTCTCTCGCTGCTAACCCTCATAATAACACTGTCACACATCATCAGTTGACTGAAAACTCATACAGCTCTCCCTAATGATTGTATTGTTACACTTCATCAGTCTTTCAACCTCAGAGAAAGCAATTTTTACTTTATAAGGGAAATGTTCCCTTGGAGCTGGTCAAAGGAGTTTGGAAGTTGTTTCAGTGTATCTGCTAATCTTCCTAGTTATGCAAGCTGGTATGGAGGGTGGTTTTATATATCAGCATGGGAAGATTGTATAGTACCACAGTAATGTGGGAATTCTTATCTTTTAGAGTCCCTCTGTTATTGTAACTCTTTAGCCAGGGATACCTTGTACATAGTTAGCTTGGCTGTAGTGGTGCATGCATGCATTGCAGAGAGCCTGAATTCCTTCTGAGATGAACAGGACTTTTCTGCTGGTCTTGTGTCTAGTGACACTGTCTAATGTAGAGCTGGGACCGTCTCAATCTGATGGTAAGTACAAATATTTGGTATCAATATTCACTGTGTGTGTGGGCTACAGTTGCTGGGATTGCCGCAGCTGTGTTCGAAACTCTGAGTCCCCTATTGAATGAGTTGAAGGAAGACATTAGCTGTGTGAAGAGTGAAATAGCCAATCTCAGTGAGACAGTCAGTCATCTAGCTGAGGAACAGGAATACCGCAAGAATGAAACTGCATCTGAACTAGTCGATCTTAGGTCCTCAGTCAACTCTGAATTAGCTAATCTGGGATCCTCTCTCCAGGTCATGATTGATAATCCACCAACTGAGGCAGTGCGTAGTGCCGTATTGAGGGCTCTGCTGCCATATTATGTGAACAACATGGAAGAAAATATAAAGACAGAGCTGGGGCAGTTGGTTAGGGAGAGGTCTTCTGCTATCAATGAGACAGTAGTTATGATGAACAGCTCCATGAGAGATGATCTCAACTGTGTGAAGACTGAGTTAAGCCGTGTCAATGGAATCATTAGTGATCTAGGTGGACACCTACAGACACACAGCCAGCAGACTACATCTGCAGTAGCTCAACTTGACACTAGACTGAGCTCTCTGAATGAATCAATGAGGGATGATTTCGATGATCTCAAGACTGAGTTAAATGGTGTCAGTAACACAACCACTGCAATGTGTGACAAAATTGAGACTGCAATTAAATCTGATTTAAAGGACATGAAGGACAATCTAACACAACAAATTAGTGGTTACACAATGTCATGTGGAGGTGTTGGTTGGAGACGTGCAGTCTACCTGGATATGACAGACCCCAACACCAACTGTCCCTCTGGCTGGCAGCTCACTGGATACTCCAAGAGAACTTGTGGCAGAGTTAGTACTGGATCTAGGACTTGTGACTCAGTCTTCTTCCCTGTCAGTGGAGGACCATACAGTCAGGTGTGTGGCAGGATCAGAGCCTACCAGTATGGAGTACCTGATGCCTTCTATGGATATTATACTGGACAAACTACAATTGACAGTGCCTATGTCAGTGGTGTGGCTGTAATGCATGGCAGTCCTCGACGACACATCTGGACATTTGCTAATGGACAGTATGAGAATGGTACACGACTATATAGAACCCACTTACTGTCCATGTGACAATGTAATACTATCCATCCCACCATTTGTTGGGGAAGATTACTTCTGTGAGTCAGGGTATGTGTATCCTGGGTATTACAATTGGACAGACTGGTACAGACTCCACTCCAATGACACTCTCTGGGATGGTGAAGACTGTCACTCCACCAGTACATGTTGCTCTTTCCACAATCCTCCATATTTCACCAAAACCCTCAACCAGACAACTAGCGATGACCTTGAGCTGACAATGTGTCTCTTGGACCCCATAACATCTGACAACATAGCAGTGGAACTGGTTGAGTTGTACGTCAAGTAGCTGCATACTGTCCTTCGCTCTATATAATTTTGTTAGTATGATACTGATTGTAGAAAAGGCTCAAGTTGGGCTCAATATTATACACACATGTTTTTACAATACACATACATTCTACAATGTGACTTTGATTCATGTCCACATCATCATTTTAAATTTATCACGGCACAAACGAACGAATTTACATATTTTGTAAGGAGAATAGATTATAGTTTTTGGTAGCTATGACGCCCCTACAATAGAGTTGCCAAGGAGACAGCACAAGAATGCCATTTACTATTTTACGATCCTGGCACTAACAATGACATCATCAGAGCCAGGAGAACGAAGACTGGTATTGTTGTTGCCGGGACGACAGGAGGTTGGTACGGCAACAGTACGGGAAGGGGTAGCAATCTTGGTTACCGCACGGCTGGATGCTCCGATCCTTCCCCATCAGCAACTGAGACTCGCTCCAATCCAGATCCAGCAGAAATGCATCCTTCAACTAGAGAGAGGGAGAGAGAGAGAGAGAGCGCATAGTTAAGTAGAAATAGTAGGTTTAATGGTCTCAATAGCACAGCCAACACGATATGTCACAAGATTGAGGAACATGACAATCAAATTACTACTCATCTGATGAGAATGAACCAGACACTGACGAGAGAGATTATTAACAATAGGAATGGATTAAAATGTGGAGGAACATGGGGTTGGAGACGTGCTGTCTATCTGGATATGACAGACCCCAACACCAACTGTCCCTCTGGCTGGAATATGACTGGATACTCCAAGAGAACTTGTGGCAGAGTTAGTACTGGACAGAGGACTTGTGACTCAGTCTTCTTCCCTGTCAGTGGAGGACCATACAGTCAGGTGTGTGGCAGGATCAGAGCCTACCAGTGGGGACTGCCTGATGCCTTCTTTGGGTATATCAGAGGTGGACAAACTACAATTAACAGTGTCTATGTCAGTGGTGTGGCTGTAATGCATGGTAGTACTCGACAACACATCTGGACATTTGCTAATGGAGCATGGGAGAATACGACACAATACCCCTCCAGCCACTGTCCATGTGACATTAGCGGTATTACATCCATCCCATTATTTGTTGGAGAAGATTACTTCTGTGAGTCCGGGTATGTGTATCCAGGGTACCGAAATAGTACTGCAGAGTACAGATTCCACTCCAATGACATTCTCTGGGATGGTGAAGACTGTCACTCCACCAGTACATGTTGCTCTCTCCACAATCCTCCATATTTCACCAAAACCCTCAACCAGACAACTAACGATGACCTCGAGCTGAGAATGTGTCTCAGTTTCCTCATACAATATGAAAACATAGCAGTGGAACTGGTTGACTTGTACGTCAAGTAGCTGCGTACTGTCCTTCACTCTATATATTTGTTAGTACTGATTGTAGAAAAAGGCTCAAGTTGTTGGACATTCTATAATGTGATTTCACTGCACGTCATTACGGCAGGCATGGCATGGCACGAACGCACTGTATAGCGTACCTACTGCGCATGCGCTCAGGTGCGGTTGCCATGAAAACTACCCGCGCGCCAAAGAGCAGGATCGCGGGCGCGGCAGACTGGATAGTGGATACCCGTCTAAATCGTGTATTTCCATTGACAAGCAGTATAACCTGTTTAGACGGAGGTCGTGCTGGCCGTCAAAATCGTCCAGGTCCGTCGTCTTCCGCGAGACTCGCTGCTAAAAAGGTCTTCAGTTTAGTTTCTTTTTGCATCGTAGAGAGGCCTTTCATCGAAGAAGCAGCGAGTTTGAAGTCGTCGCGGCGAGCTCTCAGCGACAGAGCGAGTTTCTTTGCGCGGAAGCTTGCCACACCCCTATCGAAGACGGCATTTTTTGGCGGGCGTCTCTGTGGAAACACGCACTTGGAAAATACGGGATTTAGAATCCACGTTTTACACAATTTGATTGGTCAATTTGAATCTGCCGACGTCTAAAGTGATGTTAGAAAGACTTCTAAAGCGAAGCGGAGACCAAAAGCAACAGAAATAGTGGGTTCGCTACACTTTCTTCCTCCCTCTCTTCGCAGTAAATCGTCTTCCTTGTCTCCACGGAGCTACTGACAAGCAAACGCTGTAGCTACGTTTTCTAAATAACGCGCAGCACGTAGCCACCACTTCTGACTACTCGGGGATGGCTCAGCAGCTGAAGATTCCCTGGCAGTACGCCGGCTACGGTGAACCTCAGCAGCGTGTCTACCAACCATCGCCTCTCCCGCTCAGAGCCGCACGGTGCGGCGAAGGAGAAGAAAAACCTGGAGCCCCACCTAAACTGTCTCCTCGCTCTCCCGGCGCGGCCCTCACTACTAGGGGGAAGCGACCCAGACCTCCTGCCACTGCGACGGACAGTAAGTCAAAGGAAGAGTCGTCACAGAGAAAGACGGGTAGCCAAGGGCTGTCTAGTACACCTCACGCCCCGAGGAAGAAGAGGTCTGTTCTGGAGCTCCTGCCTGGCAGAGTAGGAGGGTCGTCCTCCAGTCTCCTGCTGCCATCTACACATCAACTGCTGCAGAAACACTCCTACATTGACTCAGGTCAGACTTATGTTGCCCAATTTAGACCGTAGGCAAACTCCATAGCTATACAGTGCAGCAGAACCAAGAATGAATAAACTCTAGTTTCTTTCATGGTAATTCTGTTTTTAGGATGCAAAGTACTGATAGCAGTCTGAATGCCTTTTCAAGAACATACAACAAACACAGTGTCTGCATTTAAACCTACCCCACCTTCTCTCTCTCATTATAGGGAAGCTAAAGACAGTACCACTGAAAGAGAGTAATGTGGAGAGGAAGAGAGAGGGAGAGAAAGGAGGAGGGAGAGAGAAAGAGGGAAAGGGACAAAGGAAGGAGAGACAGAAACCGCTACCCACCAAGAAACAGGCCTGGCAGGAAGGTCACACGAGAACAAGGGATAAACCAGAAAAACAGGTTTGCTTTTATCAAGAATAAAGAGCAATTTTCTCTCCATCTCAATATTCAGTGACACTGTGCTGATGTTGTGTAAATGTATTTAATGTCAGTTTTGTTAGTTCTTCTCTCTCTCTCAAAAGGTCAAACAAGTTCAGCCGTACAGGAGAACAGTCACTACCACTCTACCTGAAGGGTGAGTGTAGTAACTAAAATCTCTGGTTTCATTTCAATTTGGTGTCCCTCATTGCAGGGTTCCACTCTTGGATCTCAGTAGACTGAATGAACCAGACCACCAGATGAACCCTGTAGTGAGAGCTAGTGATGTAAGATTATGATATCAGTGGGAGCAGAACAATATTTATATTAAAAATGGGGTTCTGCAATTCTGCAATCAAGACCAAAGTTATAAATGGCTTTTGTCCGTAGCCCTCGTCCTGTAAACTGAAACCAAGTAATGAAGTTGAGTGTATCTGAAAATCCCTTCACAACATGACTAGGGTAATCTTACCAATGTTTTGTCTACTCAGGATTTGATTGATATTGAAGACAGTGATAGTACTGATGGAGCAGATACAAATAGATCACTTATACTTTCATAGTATTGCAGAACAAGTGTCCTATATAGAGAGGTTTGTTCTAATTCCTCCCACAGTATGCGGTACTCCTGGTGTGACCTGTTGCACCATGCAGTCAACTGCCACATCTCCCCTCTCTCCTCTCTCTCTCCGTCTCCCTGCCACTGGGCCGGCTGCAACACCACCCCACTGAGAATGAAACCCTCTCTCATAAGACATCTGGAGGTGGAGTTCCAAATAATGCCCACTTTGCCTTTCTAAATAATGCCCACTTTGCACCTGTCCATATTGGCCACCATTCTAGATAGTGCCCACTTTTACCCTATAGTTAGCCAGTAAGTTTATGACATTTATTCTCCTGGTGCAGACCCATCATTGTAGTCCAGGTCCCAAGCCCATTCCACCCTCTGTGGCAGTTACTCTCGCAAAACTGAAACATTGTCCTCCTCTTGAGGTAAGAGAGTGTGTGTGAGAGAGAGAGGGGGGAGAGGAGGGAGTAAGGAAGGTTTTCTTTGGCTCCAGAATGAAGTGGAGTCTCCTCTGACAAAGGCGGTTCGTGTGACAGCTGCTCTGGTCCTCAGAAACCTGTGTCGAATGGCTCCCTCCACTCACTGGTATACAACACCTCTCACCTGCTTTGTTTCTTCCTCTTTTAGTACATTTTATCCTAACACCCACATGTTCTATATACATGTATAATCCCTCTCTTACTTCATTACCCTCACTCCCTCTCTCCCAACAGTCAGATAAGGAGACATGAACACAGACTCAGTGAAGTGGCTCTGTCTGACAGAGAAGCTGCTCACGCCATTACAGAGTGTCTCACCTATTTAAACCTCCCTCCTCCTTCTCCTCCCTCTCTCGCTGCTAACCCTCATGATAACACTGTCACACATCATCAGTTGACTGAAAACTCATACAGCTCTCCCTAATGATTGTATTATACATTTCATCAGTCTTTCAACCTCAGAGAAAGCTGCATAAGGTTGTTCAAAGGCGTCTGTAGTTTGTTATCTGCTAATCTTCCCCAGTTATGCAAGCTGTATGGAGGGTGGTTTTATCAGCATGGGACTGTATAGTGCAATTGCT